TGTTTAAGCTTTTGGAAAGAATGAAAAGATACAAGTACATTTGTAATCATTTACAATTATCATTTAATTTTCTTTATAAATAGTAAATTCTATGAGGTGGAAAATAAATGCTGGGAGTTGCAAATACAATCTAATTAGATTATTATTAACCAAATTATATCTTTATTTATATCCTTTAGCCTATAGTAAAATTGCTTTCATTATATATCATTTCACTTAATATTGCAGTTTCCAAGAACCTATTCACAATGTCAAGTAAAAACTTGCTTATATATACACAGGGTGTTATAAATAAAGCAAACAGTCTCATAACATGGAAATGAGTAAAGGTAGAAGAATTGGACTAATTATGCCCAAACAAGGTGCATGGGAACTATACATATCCAAAAATGTGTTTGTCAGAACTCTCATTAATTATGGGGTCCTATGAAAATTTCTCGCCAAAGTCCAATGGTACGTGGCATCAAAAATGGTGCCATCAGAATGTACATGAAAACCTAAACATTTACTCTAGGATAATTTTTGATTACTTTACTCAATAACAGTACAAGTTAACATGAACATATAAGTCAGGAAAGACAGACAAGCAAACATGTAAACAGGCACAACTGTCATTATCACGTGTATTTATAGCTTTGTGCTGTTAAAGCTGAACATACTGACTACAACATGTGCAGATGGCTGGAGTTGGTCATTACAATGGATGACAGTGGTAAGTAAGTACAGTACATACTTGTGAATGTAAGGTCTTACATTATTAACAACTGAATTCACAGCTACAAGAATAATCAATTCTATCCCAATTTACAAAAACATAATTTAAAAAAAAAATAAACTCCAGCAAAAAATGACTAAGTATTTAATAAAACTGTTTTCAAAGAATTAGTATAATTAGTTCATCTAATGTGATAGATGTTCAAAATACTATATACTTTCCTGAAGACACCTTGTAATGCAGCTTTGAATATCTGCTTGTACATGCCATAATTTCTGGGGAGTGATTTGGACATACCTGCCATAGCACAGAACTATAAAGGCATGCTAACAACAGTTGTACCAGTTTACATGCTTGTCTTGCCTGCCTATCCTGACTTAAATGTTTATGTTTATTTACTCAATAACAGTGTAAGTAAACAAAAATTGCTTTAAAATAAATGTTATTTAGTACTTGATTGCTTGCTGTTCTCTCAATTAATTGTATGTTCTTTGGAACTTAGCATAAAGTTGCTATTGAAACAAATCATAGAGAAACACTCCTTTTGATAGAAAAAGATCTTTATTTTCTATAATTTACAATGGATATCAATTTTGGGTTTATTCCCATCTTCAGTCCTTAATTTCTTATGTGTATCAGTAAAACTTAGTGACAACTGGAATAACTGATTATTAAAACCTTGGGATAGAATCCAAATAAAACTATAAACATAAAAATACTTTGATTAAAATGTATAAAACCATGGGGTAGAACAAGTAAAATTGTAAAAATAAAAATCTTTTGGTTTAAATGTATAAAGAAATTGACTAATAAAGGTAGTGAAAACATAAACCAAACCATCTTTAAAACTAATAATAACTGGTTAAAAAACAAAATGTAAAAGTGTTCAACCTTGGTTTTTATTTTTATTGGTTCTAAATGTTTTATGTTTTTACTACCTTAAAGTACTCAATTTTTTATACATTTTAATCAGAGTATTTTTATTTTTATAGTTTTACTTGTTCTACCCCAAGATTTTAATAATTAGTTATTCCAGTTGTCACTATAATTATTTTTAGTTTTACTGATACACAAGAAAATAAGAAGTGAAGACAGGCATAAACTCCAAAATTGATATCCATTGTAAATTATAGAAAATAAAAATCTACTTTTTCTATCAAAAGGAGTTTTTCTGTATTTGTTCTCAATAGCAACTTTATGCTAAGTTCTAAAAAACATATAACAGATGTTATTTAGATTTTTGTGTACTTTCTGCTGGCAGAAAGTACATGAAAATCTAAACAACATTGAACTTTGGCAAGAAATTCCCCATAGGATCTGGGGCCTCTGACACTCAAACTTACAGACATGTTTAGTTCCTTTACTCCTTGTTTGACCATGATTAGTCTGATCCTCCTATCTTTAGTCATTTCCAAGTTATGAGACTGGTTTACTTTATTTTATAACATTTTGTATGTATTTAAAAATAATAACTTTTAAGATATAGTTAAAATAATTTTAAGCTTAATAGTTCTCTCTTATTTTTATGTATTTTTATGTTTATTACTATGTCTTTAACATTAATGAAACCTCTTGTTATTAACTTTTAAACAAATAGTATTCACAATATAAATTCTAGAGTTTATAATTTGTTAAAATATTTTTTAAAAACAAAATTTAATAATCATATTATTAAATTTATAATATCCAATTTAATTCTTACTGAATATTGATTATTAATTTATTAATTTCTCTATTATGATTCTGCTTTTGTTAAGTAAACTGCCCTTCTTTAATATATGTTTACAACAAATTTAACATATTAACATTATCTGATAAAGCAACTTAACTTAATACAGGATGAAAAGCAATAAAGGCCTTGACATCTAATAAGTCAAATTGTCACTTATTCACTTATGAATATATATATATTATATATATAGTTATTTTGTTTATTGAAATGATATGAAATCTATTACATGATTAAGTTTATGATGTAAAATAAATAGATTTGAAAATATATACCTTTTTCAATTAATTCATCCAAAAGTGAAGGCCATTCCTGACGAAATAAATTAGCACCTGTCAAACTCCCATCTCCTCCAATAACAACTAAATTATTAATGCCACTTTTGATTAAATTAGTTGCAGCCTTTAATCTTCCTTCTCTTTGGAAAAATTCTTTACATCTAGCACTTCCAATGACAGTGCCACCCTGAATGTGAAAAATTTTATATAATTAATTAAAATTAAAATTCACAGTTCTACATTTCAAATATTATATTTTATAAATATTTTTAAAAAATAAAGTCTATATTTTATTTAATAATAATAAATAATTAATAATTTATCACAACAATATAATAAATTTTAAAATTCTGGAACAAAATTAATTAGCCTTTCTTATTTCATGAAACTAATTTTAAAGTCCAATAACTTCCAGAGAAATGCAAATTTTGAAATATGTGAAACAAATTAGAATAATAAGAATAAATCCTGATCTTTAATTTTTTGGAGTGACAAGTAATCATTAATGCTTTAATAACTGAAGATAAAGGACAAATCCAAATTACAAAGCTGTACATCTCATTTTAAACTTACAAATGAATCTGAAGAGAAATGAATGCTTAATTTTGATCTTAAAAAATTTCAATTCACATATTGTCAGAAAGAGACAAGAAAGAAATGCACAGTCAAACCTCAAGTTTTGAATGCCTAACTTTCCAAACAATTTTTTACAAACAAAATTTTGAACTTATATTTTTTGCCTCAGGTTGCCTTATGATAACTAAGTTGTCAAACAAACTACTTGGCAAGAGCTGGCCACAGATGGTCAATTTCCTATGTTAAAGAAAGTCAAAGACTTAACCAATCAATGACAGGTCTCCCGATTCAGAAGTTAGTGGCACTGTGATCACCTCAACATGAATAATCAATTATGTTGCTATTTAAATTAGATTTCAATGCGCATGAGGGAAAGGTACTATTTCTGTTTTTTGGTACATACTGCAGTTGAATATAAATCATATTAATTAATAAAAACTGCATTAATTAACTGACATTCAGGTGATATAAATGTCATCCAAGAATTTATTTAAATATGCTTAAATTAAATTAAATAACAAAAATTTATTAATATAATATTATATATTACAATATTAATATTGTATATAATATTATATTGCATATGTAGGCATTTTTACACGTGAAATATAGCTAAAAAAATAAAATAAACAGGCTTTGATTTGGGAGTCAAGAAAATTAATTAATCCATTTTATATTGTCCCTTATGGAAAATTTTGTTTTGGTTTTAGAACAACTTTTAGAAATGAATTAAGTTTAAAACCCAAGGTTTGACTGTATATTGTTTGCAATATATTGTAAACCCTTATTTCTACCAATGCTACAAATAATAAAAACACAGTCATTTCTTGGTACTTTTCATTCATAGTCTGAAATATAATTTAGTTTATAATTTGTTTCTTTATGTTTCAAATTCTTTCCTGTATTCAATGATTTAGAATTTGATGATTGTTTCAAACATTAAAAACTGAAAGTTTAAAGTTTTGTCATTACAGAAACAATGATACTGAATTCAACAAATAGATATTCCATTGCTGAATCTGGTTACTTTATGTGTTTAGAACGTTTAGAACTCAAACTTACAGAAAATTATGCATATTGGCTTTAAAAATATTTTATGTTAAAATGACAGTTTAACTAATTATTATATCAACTTAATTATATGACAGTTACATTCCAGTATATTTTGTGTATTTAAATAATCATCAAAAAGTGTAATAATAACTGTATAGAGTAAATCTTACACTTAGACAAGTTACTCTTACTGGAACATACCATTACAAAATAAAAAAATTATGCACTTTCACTAGACTTTAGTAAAACAAAAGGGAAAACTGGCTATCATGCTGGCATCTCATAGGACCTTCTTTTAATATGATTGTGATCAGTGGTGCACCCAGAGGGGGGCCAAAAGGCTCTGATACCATCCAAAAAGGAAAAACAAATACTAGTAAATTTTCTGCTAATTAAAATTTATTTTTTTATTTATATTATGTTGGGTTTTCTATTACTTATAAATCAGTGGTCACATAAGGTGGAAATTTTATTGAATTCGCATTAAAAAATTTCTTTATCCATTCAACGGTTCTTACCAAGATTACATTTTGAGTGTGCTGCTGATTGTTATAAACTGTTATATTTAAACATGCATAAATTAAGTTACTATAACAAATTATCTAATTAATTAATAATCATGAAGATCATTAATTACTAAATCATTATCTAATAATAATTTTGTAAGATATTACAAATTTCTTCTGCTTTCCAATAGCTAAATTTTATCCTATACTTATTGAAGTAAACTTGCTTATTTTTTATAAACAAAATGGAATCATCTATTGCTGTTAGTTATCTATAGTGTACTCTCAATAAAATATATTATAGTAGTAGATAAATTTTCAAAATGATCTTGTGTTATAATTACTGGGATGCCCCAGTTATGAATTAAAGTTTTATCTTTCATTTCTGGCAAATTTTTTAATCGCATGAAATTAGTTAAATAATTATTTAAGAGATAAAATAGATTAAAAAAAATTGAAATATAAGTAACTGCTTTAAAAACTATTCAACAGTACAAAGTATTAAAATAGCAAGTTGACAAAATATATTTATTTTTGTTACATTACATTATATTTGTGAAGGAATGCATATTTGTGATATTTTCAACTGAAGTATTTTGACATAACTTAGATAACAAAGTTGGCACATATTGCAGATACATTCATCAAAAGTAAGGTTATCAAAATAAAGGTCTTTTTAAGCACTTTTTTGTCACTTTTTCTATTTAAAATGAACTACTCAAAATTACAAATGTTATTTTTTGATTTTTGTATATTCTTAAATACCAAAATACCTTTAAATTATAAGGAAAGTAAAAAATTTTTTTAATTCCTAAATACTTTTATCATTTACATTCCTTCTTCAAAAATATATAACTAATTTATACCAATTGTAAATTATAAACACCAACAAATCAGATAAGGTCACTTAAAAAAAAACTTACTTTTAATATAATACTATTCAATTTTATGAATTTTTCTGATTTTAAATAAGACAGTTCTATTTGGTTTTAAAAATGTTCCTTTTATTTATTATTTTAGTTACTGAGAACTAATCTAATTTTATATTTCTTAAAGATGAAAGCTATAAATTTTGAATTTTTTTTATTTCATGTAATAAGATTGTCTTTTTTTTTTGGTATTTATGAACAAGTCATTTACTTTATAGTTGAAATTTCATATTTAACACCAGTGTATGGTAACCTTAACAGAAGTAAAACAAATGTTTTAATCTATTTTAATATTTCAGAATGATTCTATTAAAATAGAATTAATCATTATGAAATATTTTAAAAACTTTACAAGAATAATTATTTACCAATAAACTTTTGCAGAATTTTTTTTATGCTAAGTATACTCTAAAATACCATTTTAAGAATTAATATTCTGTACATAAATTCTATTACATTTGGTAAAGTTTTAAAGTTCCAATTTATGAAATATAATAGTCAGTTTTGTTTCCCATTGTTTTGAAATGCTTTATTTTTAAATACTACATATCCTAAATTTAATTACCCAACAAACAGTTAATAAGCTTGTTTGAAAATGTTACAATAACAATCATAATAATTTAATATTTTATTTTTTGTAGAAGTGAAATAACACATTATCATCAATTTAAAATAATTACTTACTTACCAATACCAAAATATCTACATAAATCTATCATAAATATTTAAATATAGTATATGTTGAAAGTACTGAAGAAAAAAATACAATTACTGTATATAATTAACTAACTGTATTAGTTAAGTTATAAGTATATTATTAGACCTATTTATCTCTCATATTTAATATATTTTAGTTTGTGCATGAAACAATTAAAATCAGAATCACAACATTTAGGCTGTAAGCAATATGCTGAGTATAAGGCTTAATGAATCTTTCAATGCATCCTATCATCTGGTTTTGGTAAAATATTTTTATTAAAAATATTTAATAATTCATAAATACTTTAGGATTATTTTAATTTAAATATGTATAATGTATTTTGAATTGTTGAATCTGCATATAAATATTTGTTTAATGTCTATGAGTTCATTTTAACTGCTGCCTATTTTTAGAAAATATTTAATTTAATGCATCCTGAAGCAATATTTAAGTTGTGCATTCCTGAATTAAACCAATGATGATTTGCAAAAGTAATTCTGCTTAATTGTTGTGTGTCTTATTAAGCAGTCACAAATTATGAATATTTGAATAAATATAATTTACATTTTTAAAAATATGAATGTAGAAACTTTCAATGTATCAAATTAAATTTGGTTATTATTCAAACAAACTATTGTAATCTGATTTGTTTGGTTATAATGTGTATAAACCAGTAAAAGTAGATAATATATTTTTAAAATCAATTAGATAATTAAAATTTTAAAATATATAAAATAAAACTTTACATCATTAAAATTCTCCTTTATCTATATATATAAATGGAAATGTTTATTTGTTTAGATGTTCACTATGCATGTCTAAACTGTTCTACCAATTGCTTCAAAACTCCACAATTACGTTAACATACGTCTTAGATAATGTGATAAATATCACCCCAAAATATTGAATGGACTTTTATATATCAATTAATTTCTGTCTACATTCCATTTTTTGGGTTTACATGTAGCACTATCTATTGGCAAAAAAATTTAAGAAAATAATAAACTAAATATAATACTTAAAATGGATATAATTTATAAAAATATATATAATATTTGCTTAATTACTGAGACAATGATATAGTGCAAAATAAATGTGCTGTACAATTATTGCAACAGGTAGACACAGCACTTGCCTGCATGGAATTGAAAGGTTTACCCTGTGAAAAGTTTATAAGTATTTAATTTTCCACATCTAACAACTTGGGTTTTTTTTCATTTCTGAATGGTACTTTTTTAATTCTAATAAGTGCCTTCCAGTAGCCAAGTGGACAAAACCGCTGAACACTGGTGGTCAGTCGTGGGTTTGGGCATGGCCAATAGGCTGGCCACATGGAGTTTTCCAGGTTTTCTTCACATTAGTAACACTTAAATAGGGACCAGCTTCACATAAAAGTCTTCCTGGAATGCATCCCCTCAGCAGATTGCTCAAGTATTGCATTGCCATAACCAAATAAACCAAACTATTAATTATAATAATTTTTCTATAAATGTGATATTTTACAAGGACATACTTACCCATATAGTTTATACAATCTATTGCAAAAATATAAGCATTTTATTATCACATAAAAGTAATTATTCTTGCATTTTTATAAAATTTTTTTGTTTAAACAAGTCATATGAAGTCTTTCGGATGTTAAGGTTAGCAACTTCAATCACATGTGAGGTCATCACAACCTATTCAACACATTATTTTTCATATATTAATAGTAGACCAATATTAATTAGTAGTCAATGACCACAGGAGGAGCTCAATGATTACTTTTGGTCAAATTACTTCTAGACCACTTTCACAACAGTCCCATCATTCTATTGGACCAGTAGTATGGTGGCATTCAAATAGGAAAATTACATAATTTGAGATTACTTGCAAGAACAATATGTTTTAAGTAGTTTTTGAAGATACCAAATTTAAATATTTAGTCCATTTTTTGCAAATTTTCATTCTTTGGCAGAATACCATTTGATATTTGGATGTTAAATGGTACAGTTTCTTAGAAAGTTAGATTCATCAAGTTACATGAGAAAAAATTATGATATCTAAAAAAATTTAAGATATATTTTCAATTGTCTACTTGTGTCTACTTGACCAATGAAACCATGCCATTTCATACCATCTGAATATCATGATAAACATGACAATGGCAGGCTGAAATAACTTAAAATAATCAAAATACCTTAGTAATTCCAGCAACAAAGTATTTATGTGTAAGTGGTTGAAATAACCAGGTCTTTCTATGGTTTTTGTTTTAATGTTCATATAGTATAGTATTTGATTTATATAACTACAAAGGTTATCTTATGTAAGGGTTTATCATACCAAGTGACCAATCTAACATTTTAAAAATTCTTTATTCCTCTATGGTACCACAATTTAAAGAATTTTTAAAATGTGTTAGATTGGGCACTCGGTATGATAAACTCTTATGTAAGATAATCTTTGTAAATATAAACAAACCACTATAATAGAGTAGTAATCTAATAATCTTAATCTTTGCTGTTATTTTTTGCCTGGGAAATGTTGGGTTTATCTGCTAGTTACATAATATATTTAAGAATAGGAAAAAAAATCTAAATGAAATATTTCCAATTATTACATATAGCAAAATCCAACTGATTAAGTAATATTTCTTATACAGAAATTAATATACAGAACAACTTTTAAAAACATATGAAACTATTTAATTGTTCTTTACATCTAACAATAATATTTATCTGTACAGAAATACTCCAATAGGAAGACAACAGTGAAATTTTAACTATATTTATTCTATCCATTTATACTAAAGAACTTTTTTTGTTTTAATTTTGCATTTTTTTTTAAAGAAAAAATTAATTCCTTTATTTTTTCTTATTGTTAAATAAAATGATTCAATAAACAAGTTTATATGTCCTTATTTGCTTTATTTGTGTAATTTCTTAATATCAAAAAAGCCTTTTACTAAAGAAATTCCTTGGCATTAAAAATCAGAATAAATACAGTAGAGCATCGAATATCCGAATCAATTGGGTATTGGGTTGTTTAGAAAATCGATTTTTCAGATAACCAATTATGTACAAAAAAATATATTAACCTATCCCATGTTGAAATTCGTTCAAATCCTGGCACATCCTTAAGTACCCCTCGTGGTTGCGCTCGTGCTGCCAGCTAAAACATACACACCAACAAAAATAATATTGGAGTAGCCCAAACATAGCCAAAGATTACAGTGCCACAGCACTAGCTGAAATTTAAATTTGCCATCTGGAAAGCTTTCGGTTAACTGACGTTTCGGTTGATCGATATTCGGATAATTGATGCTCTACTGTACTGTCAAATGTAGATTTTGATTTCATCATTTTATTATTCTATTATCTACAAAGACAGTGTTCTAAAATTAAAATATATATTCATATAAAACATATTTTAATTTAAATGGTGGAGTAATTAACTAATTAAATAGATTAAAATATATTACAGTAGAGCGTCGATTATCCGAATCAATTGGGGACTGGGGTTGCTCGGAAGATCGATGTTTCGGATAACCGATCATGTATGAAAAAATGGTGGAGTAATTAACTAATTAAATAGATTAAAATATATTACAGTAGAGCGTCGATTATCCGAATCAATTGGGGACTGGGGTTGCTTGGAAGATCGATGTTTCGGATAACCGATTATGTACGAAAAAATATATTAATTTATCCCATCTTGACATTTTTATCCGTTGCGTGTCGCTTTGCGTTGAATTTTCGTCGATGTTAAGCCTAACGAAGACTATTGTATCGTTAAAAATTATTTTTTTATTTTGTACGAACAAAATAAATATATTGAAAAATATAAAAACAATAAAAATTATACTTCAGTAGTTAATTTAGTATCAAAAACGTAAAATATTTGAGTAGCCCAAGACATAGCCAAAGATTGCAGCGCCACAGCACTGGCGAAAATTTAAATTTTCCGACTGGAATTCTTTCGGATGTTTGACTTTCGGATAATCGACGCTCTACTGTACTAATTATTTAATCAATAAGCACATTATTTTTTTAAAGTTTTACTAATTTTTATTTTTAGATTACATAATGAAAGTTACTTTAATTAATAAAGTTTTAAATATTGTAAAATATTTTTCATTTTATCTACTTATTAAAACTAAGTAAAATAACAAAAATGTGAAAATTTTAATTCAAAAGAAACTATTAAATCAATAATACAAAATTCTCTTTTAGAATGATATATAATTTTTTTTAACTGAATGTTGTGAAGTGTAATAAATTAATATAAAACATTTAATACATAATATAAAATTTAATACATTCATGCTTCAATTATATTTATTTCATAAAATAATTTAATACAGTTATAATAAAAATAAAATAAATTTTATTTCTTGTAATCAATAAATAAAAAAAGATAATTTTGTTTTCTGAATACTAACCTTATGAATAATACCAGAGACAGAAACCCAATTTGCTTCTACAATATAATCTCCACCATCAACCATTCCTTGATATCCTTCTTTAATAAAAAATACTTTTCCACCCATAAACAAACTCATTCGAATAATTGCTCTGACAGTTGCATTCATACCTAGAAAATAAAAATTTAATACAAAGTAATGCTTTAAAAACTTTTAAAATAAAACCAACTCAAATATATTAGAAAAACTGTAAATAGTTTATGTAAGTATTTGCTAATTTTACATCTAAACTTTTTATACAATTAATTAATATATATCTCACATTTTAATTTAAATCTTTAATTTCAATAATGAAAGTATATCATTAACAATGAAATATGACAATTTTGCGATATTCTTATTCTATAAATTAAATAGTTATTTTGACTTTTTTAGATATGAATAAAACAAGAAAATAAATAAATAAAATTATATTATACAAATTAGTTAAATAGAATTAATAAAGTAATGAAAACAAAAAAGATTTCAGATAAAAATTTTTAAAGAAACAAGCAAAAGTTATAATGGTAATTATTGAAACATTTACAAAAATACACCTGGGTCAAGAACCTTTTATGAGTGTTGTGCCAAAAAATGATTTAATAGCTCAGTGCCAATTTCATTTTGCAAAAAAACTAATTTTCTAAGATTCAAGAAAAAGTATCACATTCAGATGTAGAATTTGTCTTGGAAGATACACTTAAAAATTACTTTTCCATTGTGTTCTATAAGTCCATGTTATATTTTGTAAATATGTGGAATTTTATAAAGCCTATAGATTATGTGTTGAATAAATTTCTAGTCAATATAAACATAATAACTAGAATTTCAGAATGTAAAGTGGAGGGGATACATAATGAAAATAACAAAAAGAATAAAATAAATGGAAGTTTATAATAAACTGTCAGCAAACTAATTATGAATCTAGTATTTAAATGTTATTTTTTCACTGTTCAGTTCTGTCTTTTTCTGTGCTGTGGTCCTATTACTATTAATAATTTCTTCTTGTGCTGTGCTTGATAAGCATGCTATAGGTTGCCAACCCCTGATTCACACTATACATCATATACAGTAATGATCCTTGAATGCTTCATTATTTTAAGTGGAAAGAAAAATAGTTTATAAAATATTATTATTTGATTTAAATACAATGATGGAGAATACTTATAATAATAGTGTTCAATTGAAAACTAAATATTATATTTATTACATCATATATCAACTTTGAATTAGAATAGGGTTTTGATATTAATTCAGTAACCAGACAAAATAAAATAAGCGTCTATAATATAGTCTAATTACAAAATTCACTATATGATAATTTTAATTAACACTAAAATTGAAGACAAAGTTCATTGAAAAGTCATTGTTTTATTCACTTTCATGGTCCAGAATACATCTTTTGACAACCTGATTTTCTTTTTGAGTCATCAAGTATTTACCCTTAAAATGTGAAAAAATACACATCTTAATAAAAAGATTAAAACATTTTTCAAAATTGGAATGGAAACAAAATAATCATCGATGTTTTCATCCATACAGAACTGGGATCATACAATCGCTTTAACTTTTATCCATTAAAAAAATCTCTATTAATATATTTATTTCAGGCTGTCTTCTAGTGTTGAATTCTTATAATATATTTTCAAATTATAAAATTTACTGGATGACAATTTTAATATTAGCAAAAACTAAAAGGAAATTTTAAATATTTGACAATCAAGTAACCTGAAAAAAAAGTCAAATTATTAAAAATTTGTTTTAGAACATAAGTGAATGAAAAGATGACTTTTTGATGGCTAGTGTCTTCAATTTTAGTTTTAATACAGATTAATTTATTTGTGAATAATCACAAAAGAAATGAGAATGAACAAGTTAACTATATAAAATATAAGTTTAACAAAATCCTATCTCATCTAAAATCAATAAGTGATATCTCAAACAAAATCAATTCTCTGGAAAGCATTATTACAAAAAGTTATCATCTAAGATCTGTTATCTTAGATAACTTTTCCTAATAAAATTAGTTTAGTTAATACTAATAATGTCACATCAATACCTTTAAATGAAGTTAACTTTAATTATTAACTTTAATTAACTTTAATGTTTTTGGTAGTTTTTAAAGACCTTCTCCAAGGAAGAAAAATACACTCTAAGTATAGAATGTCATCAGTATAAAACTTATTGATTTTAAAATTAATGTATTAGAACATAATTTCATAAATTCAAATTCTTTTAGTTATGATATTCTAAAGATATGAATCATTCAATACACATATTTCTTATAATAATTAGTTGGAAATAAAAAAATAATAGTGATTATGATCATCTGGTATGCAGTTTGATTTTATGACTAAATAAATTTACTTTTATACCATATTTAACCATTACTTTAACCATATTTTTCAATAATTAATAATATTTTTATTAATTATTGATATATATAATTTTTATAATAGCTTTATATTGTCAATCTGTCACTGAAACAATTTGCTTGTGATAATTGCTATTTTTTATTAATTAATTAATAAAATTATTTGAATGTATTATAAGTTGTTACTTTTTAGATATATTTATTCTCTCGATGATGATATAGATCAGGGGTGGCCAAAACGTGGCGCATGCGCCAAACATGGCGCATTAGACGATTACAAGTGGCGCTTCAGTTAGATCTGAGCAAAATTGCCAGATTTGGCTTTTTTGCAATTAAAAATATTATATAGAAAAATAAATTTTTTACAGTCTGTCTTGGCGAGTTCATTTGTTGCACAATTCGTTACAGTCTATTTTGAAGATAAAATGAGTGTTCTCCACATAGTAAATTACAATGTATGCATGTATTGTGAGTCTTGCGATCTTTATTTCCGATCAGTTTACAGGCGTGTAAATGGTTGAAAACATTTATTGTGATTAAAGTTATTCCAAGCTCATCTCGTTCTCGGTACCAATAATTGTGGTGCGTAGTAATCTTCACCAAACAAGACTCTGGCAGCTATAGCACCATCACCAAGCAATCACCCTCTCGTACAGTAGATCATTGCTGACTATTGTAAATTGGTGCTTCAATAAACTGTCAGCAGTTGAATTAATTAATTTATTAATTAATTTAACTGCGTGATTAAGTTATTCCCTTTTCTCCCCTAAGCGAAGCAGATTTATTCTTATCTCTATTTATCAACCCCTAACATTGAACGTAAGACTGTATAAAGTGTCCGATTTATATGGCGCATCTGAACTCGTCTGTCAGAAAATTGGCGCATTGTATGCAAAAGGTTGGCCACCCCTGATATAGATTCTTATAAACTCCTCTTCATTAACAACATAATTCATTAGATAATACTTATATTGAATAATATTACTTATTAAATTATACATAAGATTATATTAAAATGATGTTTTTAAAAAATTACTTATATAATTCAAATTAATCATTTAAATACATATTAAATCCATTATATTAAATAATTCTTAAAAAATTCTGCATCTGCAAAAGTATAGGAACTCTATTGGTAATTCAATAATCCAAAACATAGAATTTAATTATATTTATTTTGGTTGATTACATACATGTAATGGATTTCATTTCCTTTACTGTTGAGATCATCAACTATATATTAAATAATTCTTGAAAATTTCATAATCTTGCATCTACAATGTATAGGAATTCTATCAATAATTGAATTATACATGTATGTAATCAACCAAAATAATTCCATTACTGATAGAATTCCTATAAATCAATGATCCCACAATAAAGGAAATTAAATCCATTAATTTAATTACTTATTAAATTTAATTGATTTATTAAATTTTATTATTAGATGACTTTTATATCAAATTCATTATGTTAAAATTATTTTTAATTAAATTACAGTATACATTATAAGAGTAAAGCTTGATACACTGAATGGTTTAAGAAACAAGTTAGTACTGATAAGTTAGTTTGATTAAACTAACTTATCAATACTATACTAAATATATTCATGACAGTAAGATAAATACGGTATAATCCAGTGTTCCCAATTAGTTTTTCCTGCGTACGACTTCAAGAAAGAGCTCAAACTCACGTACCCCTTATAGCAGAAATTCATATTAATCCATACTAATATTATAAATTCGAAGGTAATTCTGCCTGTCTGTCTGTTACCTTTTCATGTCTAAACTGCTAAACAGGTTTTAATAAAATTTGGCACAGAGATAGCTTACATGTTGAAGATGGACATAGGCTACATTTTACTGCGAGAAAATATTTTACTACTACGAGAAAATTTGATATAATGCGGGCAAAGGTGTGGGTAGACAGCTAGTGATAAATAGAATAAGTTTTTTTACATTTATTACCTTTAAAATACAATTCTAATAATAATGAAAATAACATAAAGTTATTTAATTTTAATGTGACAAATGTGCACAATTTTCTTTGCACAACTTTGTAAAATCTGGTTGCTTTTTGGTCAGCTTCAGTCTCAAGTCATCTTCGAGTTGAAGTCAGTGACAATGTTTAGTTTTCATGTTTGTCATGGCTGAAAATCTGCTCTCGCAGAAGTATGTTGTGCAAATGGTAGTAAATATTTTATTGTCACTTCGCTGACATGATAATAATGTTAATTGTACAATTTTTGTTTCTTGTGTAAGAATTTCATTTAGGTATTGTCACAAATGCATTTTTTGATGAAATTTCAAGAATATTTTTAGTTATAAATAAACGAATTTGTGCATTTGACATCATGTTGTAAATTGCCGAATTTTTGATGGTCCACCCATTATTTTTTTGATTGTTTCATCTCATGCATTTAAATTTTAAATCAACCAATTTTAGATTGCTGCACATACCCCTGGGGGTACGCGTACCACTAATTGGGAACCATGGGTATAATCTAATGAATTGATTTTAAAGTTTCAAAATAATTCTTTACTATGCTTTAATAGTTTAAAGATCCAAACATTATCTAGACTAGGGGTGGTGAACCTATGGCATGTGTGTCCAAAATGGCATGTAAGGAGAAATCATCTGACACAATGTATCATACAATTTTGATTCATCTATCTTTTTCAATCATCCTTTCAGTTTATCACCTGGTTATCCTTTTTTTCAGCCAGCCTTTTTACATTTATTCTAATTAAAGCATAT